CCCCACCACACCCCATCATTAAACACTACCCAAAAGACCAGAAAGACCTTGTGACCAGAAGATCAGTAAGACCTAAACATCTGGTCATCACATCGGCCCAAAACTATTCCTTCCGTTAGTATTTCCACCACCACTGGACCTCGGAACAGGCCTGCACAGCAGACTCCTTCAAATGTAACAGCAAAAACACAAAAGCAAAACTAAACATCCCACCAGGGAAGCTGCCCACAGACCCACACAAATGCCTCACTGCAGAAGATCACTGCAGGTAAGTTTCCTCTTGTTTGTCTGCTGAAAGCACCTCCTGCCACTGTCCCTGTGCCTTACAAGTCCTGAAAGATTCAACTGCAGGTAGCTGGCTTTTCTAAGAATTTTTCCTTCCTCCCTGCCCAAAGGCTCATACTGTTGGAGAATTCACCAGTGCATTCAGCTCGTTGCAGCCCAAACACAAGGAGAAATACCCCTGGAGCCCTGCCAATGCCTACAGGAAAACACAGCAGCCACGATGCTGCAGGGGCTCAGGGAGGAGCTGAAGTTCAGAAGCAGACTTAGTAACATGTGTCTGTTACCACCAGGGCCAGCTTCTCCAGGAAGACACCTGTCCACTGTTTACTGCACTCCTTTGTGAGACTCTTCTTTCCTGGCAAGCAGGTTCAATCCCAGACTGTATTTAGATGTGGCTACAAAAAAATGAAGCTTCAGACCGAATTTGGGTACTGGTTTACAGGTTCAATCCTAGGCCCTTTGCCTTGACCAGGTCCCTGAAGCCAGTGGCATCACACTGTGCCTAACAGCTCACAACAGAACTTCTGCATTTTTCAGTACATATCTCCCTCCCAAAAAAAAAAAACAAACCAAAGAAGACACTTCCCTTGGCTTCTCTTTGCTATTATGGGTGACTCTCCTTTTTTTCCTTGCATTTGTACTTCCAATACCATCTGATTTTTGCCTAGCAGGTGATAAGCTTCTTGAGGCCTTCCAATGCTTTCCAAACGAGAACTGCAAATCCTCATTTCATTAACCTGCTGAATAAAGTGGGAAATTTAGCTGTTGCCATCTTCTCCGCAGTGCCTGAGGCAGACCTGCAACTGTGCTATCTCTCAGCATTATCAGTCTAAAGCCTTTATGCCCAACATAGGGAGAAGCATCCTACTAATGAGAAGGGAACTAAGCAAGAACCTGCAGAAACTGGAAGGTAGGAGGAGACAAAACGACGCATCTTTTCCATCTTCTTGCATCACGCATACATCTTCTTGTATCATAGAAATTACAAGGCCAAAGAACAAATCAACTTTGAGGTATCTAAGTGCATACGGCTCCCCTCAAAGTTGGCGTAAAGTCTTCCTAAGTGAAAGGAAATGTCAAAGCATGTCTTACAGAATGCC